TGTGTTTAGCCTATTGTCGAATGCCGTCACAGAGACTTGGGGTATTAATCCTGTCATCTGTTCAGTGTGTGGAACTGCTGAGTGGGCTGCACAGTGAATGAGAAGCTGTAGGTATTAGGGAAGAGGGGTATGGTGTGTAGGCGTGTTTGGAGCACATTCAGAATTCGTGCCTTTCCCTGACTGTACTGACTGAATGTAAAAATTTCCTTCTGTGTCTCCAGCGGTCACCAGTAACAGGAATGTGCAAGTGCAAAGGCCTGATGGCGGTGGGAAGGCAAGGTGGAACGTGACGGAGGGCTGTAGCCCTCCTCTGCGTGTGTCTGTGGTTGTCTGTGTGCTGTTGCTCTGCTGAAGAAAGCTCTGAAGGAGTCATGCATCTTGCTCAGAGCAGAGTGGTAGATTCAGCACTTCGGATTGAGGCCGGAACGTAAGACATGGGCTAAACCAAAATGACAGCTCCCAAGGTCATGGGTGTTGAAAAATAAGGATTCAGCTTTGAGTCTTGCAGGCTGAGTCTGTCTCTAGCGAGCAGAACGTGTCTGCCACAAAGGAGCTGGCACTTCTTAGATGCTGGCTGCGTGTTACGCTTCCTTCTGCAGCAGATCTGGTTTAACAGCGTCTGTGAAACCCAAACTCCCTATCCTGCAGACTGTCTCTCACTAGAGCTGCAGTTCTGCACTGTCGTTCTTTGCCAGCAAATCTAGTTAGAGAACTTCCTACTCTGAATGACTTGTGCCTGCCCCTGTACTGTGAGCATTAAGTAGTCTGTGTGGTTGCCCTTTAAACTGGGTCTGTGACATGATAAAAGGAGAAAAAGCTGTTTCCCTCAACCCCCACACCACACCCCCCCCAAAGTATTTGTTTTTAAAAATAATAATTTCACAGAACTAATTTGGAATCGGCACAGCTGAGGGGCCATAATGAGTGTCTGTAAATTGGGTGATAGGAACTTCTTAAACCAGAGCAGCTGCCAAAAGCATCTTAACATGGAGCTTCTGCCATAACGAGAGACAGCTTGGCAGGCGAGGATCTGCAGCCAAATAGCTGACTCCAGGCTTGTGGTTTCCCACCTGGGTACTCAAATCAGCACTCCTTAGGCCCTGCAGCATTTGGATGTCTCCGTGCTGAGTGGAGCACCCAGGAGCAGGGAAGGTTTTTGAACGTGAGTCGTCAGGAGGAATAAGCTGTTGTGCGTGGCACATCTCAAAAGCGTGCATTGTTTTTTTAGAGGGCTCAGGCAGGGTAGGGAGGGAGAGTTTTGTTGCTGGCATGTATAGATGTGTTTCCAGCCAGACATTGAGCGTTAGCAGTGCAGAGAAAAATATGTGCTTGGGCTTTCAGTGGGAAACAACAACAAAAAAATCCTTTCCATTTCCTTCAGCTGGAAAAGGATGCCAGGAGCTGTTGTTTTAGAGAATAAGAAATCTGGATTTAGAAGCGTGCATGTGAGATACACCTTTGAATGTGTATCAAAAAAATCTACGTAGAGAAAATGCATCACATAGGAAGTAGGTCTTACTGCTGACTGTCACCGTTCAGTGGAAACCAAGAGTGTTGTGGAAATCTCTTTGTGAATTTTTTAAAAAAAGAAAGAAAAGAACATCTATTTTCTATTTGTGTATAAATATACCCCTTTCTTCTGATTTCATAGTGCCCATTACAGCTTGTGACGATTTTTCTGGAGTGCCAGGAGAGAAAGGAACATCTCCAGAAAGTGCAGAGGTTACAATACCCAGACAAAACCTGTCTGTGCTACATTTGTAAGATACAGTTAGCCTAGTCCTGCAGAGAGCAAATGCACTGGTGAACTTGAGGTAGTTGCCAGACTTCTCTCACTTCTTTTTATATGATTTGCCAGATCCTTAGCTGGCTGGAGGGTGAATATCAAGACAAGCAGCAGCACTGAAGGCTGAGCAGTGGTATGTTGAAAAGTTCTGCTTGGGCAGGAGATAATGAATGTCATTTTTTTTGCAGTGACCGCCCTTAGATACCTTAAAGCACTGGCTTGAGCTGGAAGGAAGGGCACCTCTGAAAGGCTGCTACTTCCCTGGGAGTGGGCTGGAGTAGTGTCCAGTGAGCCCTGAACACAAATCTGGTGGGTCTGGTTTTGTTGTTTATTAAAGACAGGCCTTTGTACAGCAGTAATGGAAAATCCTATTTCTGTACCAATAAAACCTTTGCTCCCATGGTTGTTGTTATTGGCAAACTTAGTCACTTTGGTGTTTATGGGAGAGTATTTACTGGGAAGGGCTGGATGGTTAGCAAGCTTCATCTGCTTTCATTTTGTGCTGATGGGCCACGTGTTGCTGTGGGACGTTCTGTTTCATCCCTGTACCCCATCCACAATCCATCCTTCCAGGCTGGTATCCCTCTTCTGCAGCACAGACAGCCAATGCCCCTGCTGTTTGCTGTAGCAAGGTAGAGCATTGCCTGGGTCTGGCTTGGACTCTTCTTTCTGGCCTGGGGGGCATCAGCTTTGTCAGTTCCTGCTTTGCCACACAGGACGCTGAAACAATGCAGTGTGTGTTTTGTAGCAGTCAGGCTAGACCTAGTTGGCATGTGGGGTATCAGCCAGCTGACAATGACAATAATAAAGAACTTGAGTGCTGCAGAAGGATTAAAAGAATTTCTCTAATAAATGCAATTACACAAACATGCTTGAGCCATGTGTCCTGTTTAATTCCTTCCCAAGAAAAGAGGCATTCCTCAGGGCACTGCTTTTGTCTGAGTGAAAGAGATATCCAAGTGCCTCGGGCATCCTCTCAGAATCCGGAGTGGCTCTTCTGTGCCCTGGGTGGCAACTAATATTGGGCTTCAGATTCTTCTGAAGAACAGTTATTCCTCCAGGACCGAGTCGATTCCTTTGCCAGGCAGTGACTTTATAGCTGGCAGAGCCCTTGCTGCCATCCAGACCTCACAGGCAGCTTTCATTGCTGGCTGTGGCTCCCTGCCTGCATGCCCTGTGGCACCGTGTTTGCCCTCAGAGGTGCCTCTGCTCTGTCCTAGGGAGCCTTTTGCATATTGGGGATCTTCCCATGGGCCTTTGTCACTTTTGGAGAGTACCTTGACACCAAGAAGGGCACCAGGCTAAACACCATGACGGACTGTGCTTGTTCTCTTGTCAGGGCAGTTTAAATCACACCTTTAATGTGTTTTGTTCTCTCTTGCTGGTGAGTGAATTTTCTGTCTCTGCCTTTCACATGAACAGGACTCATGATGGAGAGATACTCTTACAGACTTTTCCAGAGCTGCTTGCTGTTACCCCAGCCAGCACCTGAGAAATACTTAGCTGGGGCTAATGGGTTGGTACCCCAGCTCCGGGAATTCAGACCATCAGCTGGAAACACGCAGCAGCCTTCCCAGGGCAGAGGAGGCAGGAGGCAGTTGATCTATGCAGATGTATGTGGATGTAAGAAAAAGGGTCCAGATCCATCCGCAGGCTTGCTGGTTCTCAGGCATGGCTTTGACTTTGCTTCTCTGTGAGGCAGTGGTTGGGCAAGCGTTGGGGTGCATCCCTACAGCTGGACTGATGGAAGGAGACAACCTGGGAGGGGCAGGGACCCCCCAGAGATTGCTTTGTGTGGTGTGGGGAGAGCACGTTTGTGCTGCCCCAGGATGAGGTTGCTCCTTAACTAAATAGATGTCCAATGTTAATAGGCCAGGGAGGTAAAATCTTGAATGTTTCTCTTTTCTCTCAAAGCTCTGTCTCCCTCCTTTTAAGGGTATTTAGTCTGAAATCATCGCTCCTCTGTAGAAGTTGAGGTTTTAAGAAAATCATTAAATGTTCCAAGATTCCTGGTAAGGTACAAGGTAAAGGATTAAACAGTCCAGAAAAGCTGCTCTTTGACTTTCCCCCCTCCTTGCCCGTTAGTGCATACATTCCCTGAAGTGTCTCATAAGGCAACTGTGCTCTTGCTCATAAGAACGGAATGTTTAATTCAGTGTGTGCTTGTCAAAGTAAATTAAAAATGCAGGTAGCACTTGCTGTGCGTGAGCCAGCTCTTGTAAGCGAGGCACCGTCACGGGGTAATGTCACAGACTTGACACAAATGGAGACTGCTGGCTCCTGGGAGTGTGCTGGCTACCTGGAGTATCCCGCTGCCCTGGCGTTGCCCCACTCTTTGAAACGCTGCCTGTTCATGATGGTGCTTTAAGATCCCAAGGAGACGTGGGGCAGAGAGGATGTGCCATGACTGGTGATTGTCTGGTGTGGTTTTGCTGCTGTGTGGTTCTCTCTTGTCCACGTTCATCTCTATCCAGTTGTGTCTCATCCTGTGTTTAGATCCAGTCCTAAAGATCTCCCTGGCGTCAGTGGGAATATGAATGCTTGCGGACACCTCAGCAAGGTTAAGGTCTTTGGTACAATCACTAGACTAGAGGCTGTAGTTGTGCGCACAGCAGCTTGCAGAAGGAGGTCCCAATCTCTCCGTTCGGTTCAGCATCCATCTGTGCAGTTTTTCTAAGGGGAATTGACGTGCTGTCAAGTGCAACAGCAGTGTTTCAAAACTGTGGCAGTGCACTGGGAAGCCTCCACGAGAACCTTGGTTTTAGAAAAGAGATTCAAATCAGTATTTGGCAGCAAGGCTGCATTAGGTAAGGTTAAGTGTGAAATTCATCAGCGGAACTGAAAGGGTGAAAACAGACATTGCTGGGATACGAGAGAGGAAACAGCTTAACTCTTGAGAGGCACATGGGGCTCGTATGGCACTGGAAATGCTGGTAATACCAGGTGAAGTTCCCAGTGGAACTTGTGAAATGGGCAGGCACTAGAACTGGAGGCAAGTGTCCCCATCCACAGGACAAGCCCGCTGTTCATCAGTGCTCACCTCCTGACATTTCACTTTGTGCTCTTTCCACCCCGAAGACTGTAAGGATGTGCATTTCTCAGGCCCTGCCTAACAGTTGCTATAACTACCACTGATGCGGTCGTTGAGGGCACGTCCTGGTTTAGCCTTATTTCTATCAACCAGCCAACTGAATTTTGTTTTCTTGCCTTTCAGTCCTTCCAAGGAAGCCAAGGACGAGCATACCTCTTCAATTCAGTGTGAGTATAACTTTGTACCTGTCACCTCTGCATCTCTTAGGATAGATTTAGGAAGCCCTCACAAAGAAGAAAAGAAAAGGATAGTCTTCCTTTAGAAGATCTCAGCCTAAGGCCTGGGAGCTCGCTGAAAATGGTTGGAGAAAGAGACAGGAAATAGCATGGAATTGTATTTGATTTTATGTTGAGATTTCAGATAAGCAGCTAGGAAAAGGTGGGGTTTTTCATCATCAGATTGAGAAATAAGAGCTAACGGATGAGTCATTCTCTTCTCAGAGAATGTAGTTGCACCAAAGAGTCAGATTTTTGTAAATGTAGAGGATAAATGATATCTAAATACGAACTTACTTTTTAGAGCTAGAATAAAAATTAAGTATAATTTTCCCAATAACTGAATGGAGTTTTGGTGAGATCACTGCTGGGATGTCTTTCAGAAGAACGGCTGATTTCAGTTACATTTTTCAAGTTTCTGTTTGGGAAAGTAAGAGTACCGTTTTATCAATTTGAAAATGAAAATCTTTCTCAAATGCATAATTAGTGCCATTTACTAGAATGTTATTAATCTTCTGTTCAAAGCTTTCTAGAATTTTTAGTTGAATAAAAATTCTATTTTACCTTTTCATTCTGTTATGGAACTGCAAGAGATCTTTGTTTCGGGCACAGCTGTGGTACCCGGTATCCTGAACTCCCTGCTTATGTTTTCAAATACTGCAATAAAATTGCTGTCAGCTTCATCGTAGCGTCTTGCTGCGGGAAGACACACTAATAGGGAGCATCTCTCCTTTTTCCCCAGAGTTAATGTGGGTTGTGGCCCTGCAGAGGAGCGGGTGTTATTAACAGGATTACATGCGGTTGCAGATATTTACTGTGAAAACTGCAAAACCACACTGGGTTGGAAATATGTGAGTATCAGTATCGTTTGTTTTGTCTGTGGACATCTTTGCTCCAGCCCTTTCTGAAGGTGTGTCTGTGGTAACGTGGTCTCACGGAAAGACTATTAACTTGGGAACGCGAGTTCTGGTCTGTAGCCGCGTCTTCTTCCCTCCCTGCGTTTCCATTTTCCCTCCCATCTTGTGTTCGTTGCATCCATGCAGAGCAGGAGCTCTTTGTGGCTGATGTATTTTTTTACTGAGAACATGCGCTGTCGACCTGGTTTTGGTGGGTGTCCCTTAGTGATGCTTAACATAAATAAGGCTGACTTCAGTCAGTCGTGTGGTCCATATTGTCTTTTTTCCCAGACGATACCGGAATAATAGAACGATCCATATATTGTTAATCCTGTGTCCTTCCCACTGGAAATGCTATTGAACATGAGTTTATCTGTTTGCTGTCTCTTGCTCTTCATAAATTCAATTACCTTCAAATAAAGGCTTATACTACATCCTGATTTCTGCTTCAGGAGGCACGCAGCGTACTTGTTTGTCAAAACGTTTTGACCAGTCTCTAAACAAAACATACATTGGATCTGTGGCCTCTGGACAGAAGTATTCTTTAATAAATCAGTTGAAAGGCTATAAAAAGCAAAGCATCAAAAATTGATGCAGTAGGAATTCGTGCAGAAACACAGCATGGGTCTCACGAATGGAGAAGGACACTAAGCACAGATTATTGTGAAACAAAATACAAAATTTTGTAGGCACAGCGGTGAACCTAAGCCTCTCCAGCAGTAGAATTAACAGATGCAGTACGTGCACGCAGACAGCACACCTGAGCAGAGCTGAGCCGCTTCCGAGGATGCAGCCTCAATAACGGGAGTCCGTCCTGGTTAGGGGTCCCATAGATTTCCTTCCTTCTTCAGGTCTGCAGCACGGAAGCGCTGCGTGTTTCTGTAGCTGCACGCACACATCTGGGTAGAGCAGGTCCTTCTCGTCCCCTGGGGCCCATTTGCTCCATTTCCACGTGAAGTTTACCATAATCCATCTCGTTCCTGATGGTAGTGCTTTTACAGCATGTTTCATCAGAGGACCTCTGCATTCTTAACAAACATTAAATTCTCAGACCACTCTAGAGAGGTGGATTTTATCACCGATGGTTCCTAGAGCAGAGTTCAAGGAGCAGTTGCTGTTGGCCTGCAGAAAGCTGCATGGTTACAAGGTGCCCATCGTTCTTTTTTTTCCAGCCTGTAAAGACAGCGAGAAGCAGGATTTGAGATTCTTCCAATGTAATTTTCCTGAAAGCCAACAGGAGGACCTGCAGGTTGACTGTTTTACTCTGTAGACAAGGCTAAGACTTGCACCAGCTTTCCCAGATCTGTTCTGTAACAGTGACTTTAACTTCAAATACCATCTTGATCTCATTCTTTCTCCTTTTTTTTTTTTAGGAACACGCTTTTGAAAGCAGCCAGAAGTATAAAGAAGGCAAATACATCATTGAACTAGCTCACATGATCAAGGATAATGGCTGGGATTGAATGGAAAGAGCCCAGCCCTACCAGCGTGTAAGAGAATGCCATCCAACCGAACATTATATCCAAGAGTGAGAGAGTGACTGAACGCTTGGTTCCATGCATTTAGAGGCTCTGCAATTTGGGAGCATCTTCACACCCTTCTCCATCTTTATTGGTGACTGGCCTCTAAATTTCTGTCTCTCTGTCTCTTTGCTTTGTATCTGTTTGTGAGTTGACCCTGGCTGCTTCTCTCTCTGTTCTGGCGTTGGCTAAGAGAAGGCACCGAATGCCCGACAGCCATTCCATGTTGACGAATGTTTAAGTACAAACTGAAGTTGGCTCTGTGGTGGCATTTTAACAGAAGGTCTCGGTGCAGGAGGAAGACCCAAGTTTTGGGCCAGGAGAAGGTGATAGGGGGTGGGGAGTGGGCCCAAAGGGAAGTCATCAGCAGTTGAAACTGTACTTCTCCTTTAAGTCCTGGTTAACCAAGGCTTGAAACTATCTACTTGTCTGAATGGACAGAAAAATACCTCACGGCTGCGTTCTCTCCGAATCGTAAAAGCGCTGCTCCATCGGTGGAGCTTCAGTCTAAGCTGACTGAGCACAAGTCCTGACCAGTTCCCCCCGCAAGCTGATCGCAGATCTGTGTTTTGTTTGCCATTTATGAACTTGTTGTTCGGGGGAGGGGGACCTGAAGGCTGGAGAGATTCCCTGCCTCTCCTTTTTCTTGCTGTTTCAGGGTAGGTAGGCCAAACGTCCCAACAGAGCACAGCTGTGGGGAGCATCCTCACAGCTGCAGAAACCAAATCCTGACTCTTGAGCCCTTCAGAGAGGAGGAGAAAACCACTTAAGGCACAAGGGGGCTGGAGCTGCAGCTTAAAAGATGTGACAGGGGGGAAAAAAGAAGGCATGTGCTAGGCAAGAAAGAGGAAATTATGTAGAGGAGGATGGGGACAAACTTGGTAACGCAGGGTACCCCTTGATTTCCTGGCCTCCACTGGGCATCCTTGGGGGTCTTTTACCCATCCTTCACAAGTGCGAGTAGGAAAATGCTGTTACAGAATCTTTTTCTTAAATCCCAGGCCCCAGCCATCAGCTCCGCTCTTGGAGCCTGGCGGAGAAATGGTGTGAGAGTGGGGAGAGGAGGGAGCAGAGGAGCCTGGCACTTGTAGCAGTGTTGCACAGGTGGATATTTCAAGCCATGAGGTATCCTCCCCAAAACCTTCCCCCCTTTTCCCACTCCCAGAAGCCTGTTACAGGCACAGGAAGAATGGGAAAGAACAAAGAAATTAAGCATCTTTCCCCTACCCCTGAAATTGTCTATGCCTTGGAGTTTAAAGGGGACGGGTAGATGTGGGCATCATAACTGCAAGGGACAAGTCCTTCCCATTTTAATTTTTTAATTTTAATTAGTGTGGACCTTCCTGAGGTGGTTGGTGGGGAAGGGCCATCGTGTGCGAGAGGGGAGCTGTGTTAGACATCAATGACAATGTGAAGTTTGCTCTGCGACAGTCCAGCCAGTATCTGGTGCATAACTCAAGACTATTTAACCAAATTAGTTTTATCTCTCCGAGTGAATTTTCTTTTTGTTTGTGGAATTCTTTCAAGTAGGTTAATCCATTGGGGGAAATCTTTCTTAATCCAGAAGGAAAGAGTATTGTGCAGGGGTTTGTAACTCCTTATGAAACCCAAGCTGTGATCTTTGTTGCTTGCCCCCACCCCCAAGAGACTCTCAGTTAGCTGTGGGGATCCAGATGGAGGGCTGGTGGTGAGAACATGATTTGCTGTTAAGTGAAGGGTATATGAGCAGAGATGGTACTTAGGGATCGGGGTGGAACTTGCATGTTGGGTCCTTGTGCTGAAACCCAAACTTGATGGCCCATCTAAGCAAAGGCTGTTTTTTCTCTTGAACCACCGTTCTTTACAGCCTTGGAGAGAGAAGTGAGATGGAGGCTGGCCACGGCTCCTGCAATGGCTTGGTTTGTGGCTAGCCTGTTAGGAGGCGGCTTCTGCCTTCACCCTTTCTGCTGTGGCTGTGTAACAGTTGCTTCAGCTTTCATTTCTGATCATCTCTGCTTCCGACATCCACATTCCCTTCAGTGATAAAAATCTAGTAGAAATCAAAATCTCTGCAGTACCCACCATCTTGTTGACTTTGGCACTGATCCGGTCCCTTTTTCCTGTCGTCTGGTTGGTGATCCATGACCATTTAGTGGGTTCGGATTAGTGGGAAGTGATTGGCGTTCTTTGTTGAGCCCTTCATTCTCCCCAGATACCCCTTTAAAGGGATCTGGTTGGAGCTGGGAGAAGGGGGAAGGGGCAGCCCCAAATCATTCATATGAAATTGAGAAGAAGAACACACAGGGGCTCATGGGTTTATGTTGGTGTTTAGAGCGATTGCCGATAAAAAGGCAATATAAAAGGTAGGCCTGTCTAGAGGACTGCTCTGAGAAATAAGAACAGTTACTACAGAGAGCTACCAGATGTAAATGTTTTTATCCGTGTATTTGGGGCAAGAAAGGATGATGATCCATCAGGTCGGGCTGTTTTTAACTGTTCACAGGGGTTGCGCTTTTAATGGCAACCATTCTAAGCCTGAACACGGCAAGATCTTAATCTGGTTTTAATTGGTTTTGTCCCATCAGCATCCAGAGATTTACACTTGCTGAGAATCTGGCCTCAAGCCCTGATACAAAAAAGATATGCGTGCCTGTGAACGTCCCCAGCACCCAGAGAATTCTCTGTAGGGTGACTTTAATACACCGTATGGGGAGATAAGGAAAAACGGGTTTGTGAGGCTCGTTGGCGTTTGTTCTGTGCTGTGTGCCCATTAAACACGACGTGCTTAGTCGGCTGCTAACTCCTCTGTGACTCGCTGTGTTAAAACACGTGACAGTACCGGGAGCTGGTGACCAGAGAGGATGGTCAGGTCTGTGCTGGTGGCTGCCGCAGGCATCGCAGGCTGAACTGGTGACTCGCGGTGGTAGATTCAGAGCAGAACCAAAGAACTTCACTGTCGCACCCCTCTCTCTGCTTGGGGGAGTCGACTGTAGCCAGTTTGTTACCGGCTGGGCTGAGCAAGGTGGGACCGTTGTTTCCGAGCCGGAGATGTGGCCCATGGAAACGGCCACCTTGGGCAGGTGATGCCTGAGCACCGAGTGCCCATGGTGCTGCTTTCCGTGGCTGACATCCTCGAGAAACCACGAGGGGCAGCAAGTTTTGCCTTTTCTTTTTATTTATTTAACGTGGCAGCCTCGTCTCTGGCAAGCTGCGTGTGCCCTGGAGTTTACATCATCCCCATCTGCCCCAAAGCTCAGACTTGAGTAAGTTTTAAATTGTCTTGCTCTGGTGGATTATCTGGTGTGAAATCCTGATCCCTGTAATAAATATTCAGATGATAATATATACAAAGCAGAAAAAAAAACCATTATCTTGTGAAATATACTTTTGTAAATAATATTTAATTTTTTTTAAAAAATAATATATTTGGTGCTGTTTTCTCAGAGCCCCTCCCTGAGAGCACTTTTTTGTTGTTTATAAATGATACTGTTTCCTTCGGTATTTGTCGGAAAATATGTTTAAAGGGAAACAAAAATTATGATACACGTTGTCCTCTTTAAGTCGATCCGTTTTTCCTCTGGATGTGGCAGGAGAGGGGAGTCCCTCCCGCTGCCGTCTGGCAGAATCGGGTGCAGGCGGTGGCCGGGCTGGGACAGGGGGACAGCGGGACAGCAGGACAGCAGCCCGCGGTCGGGGCAAGTGCTGGTGTGTGGGACGGGGGGTGGCTGCAGGCACTCGGGGAGCGCTCGGGTGTCTGGAGTTACCCCAAACGCCTTCGGGCGGTGTCGGAGGTCCCGCCTGGCAGCCTGAGCCCCGGGTCAGCTCACGGCCAGTCCCACGGAAGTCGGGGGGCTCCGACCGGGCGTGACTTCCCTGAGGAGATCTGGGTTGTGGGATCCGGGCCTGAAATTTTCTCTTGCACCAGTATTGGCTGGAGTGAAGTAGATACCGAGGTGTAGAAAACAGGATTGAACACAAGCTGCGACCTCGGAATCGCTGTTGCCAGTTGCTTGGGGGCAGCGGGGATGGAGGATGGAGACTTCTAAGTAGTCGTTGTTTTGAAACTGAAAAGTGAGTCTTTGGACATGGATCCTGGTTTTCTTTTTGAGGTTTTGTTGTTGTTTGGGTTTTGTTTGTTGATTTTTTTTTTTTTTTTTTTAACCAGGCTGCTATGTAACAAATTAGAGTAAAAGTTTACCTCTCTGGCAGTAAAGTTCTTTTTTGTTTGTTTGTTTTCCTTTCTGTCTTTAACCTCCCCCCTTCTCCCCCTTCTTCGTTTTCAATTCATTTGGTCTCTTGTTTATCCCAAAGTGGACCAACAACACCAACCACCGGACTGTGTTTTGCTGAGCGAGGAGCTGTTTTCAGTGCTGAATAACTGTTGCACGCTCTTTAATTCTCTGTTTTGGTGCACACGATTTAAAAATATCCAGAAAAAAAAACCTCTACGAATGAAACCTGTTGTTCTTGTGATGATCAAGTGAGAATTTTCTCTGTATGCATTTTTCTAACTGGTATGTGAGAGTGTGTTAATCATGCATTTCGCTGCACTTCCTTGTTTTGGGAGGAGCATCATGTCTCCGTGTGAACCAGTTCTTGGATGAAGAGATGACACCCAGACACCCGGTTGGTCAATAGATTGGCGAGAACCAGAGCTCAGCTCAGTGGGAAGGAGCTCTTCTCACCAGGTGAGAGGCCTCAGAAATTAAATGCTCGGAAACAACTACGTTAGACCTAGATTTTGCAGAATCCTGATTAATAAGAACAAGCAGAAGAGGGGAAACAAAATCATCTTGAATTCAGAAAAAAAAATCAACACATCTAAATGCAAGCAGAATGGCATTGTGTAAGGTACAACCACAAATAAGCTATTCTCGTAGTTACGAACTGTATGTATCCTTTGTTTTGTTTTTCGTAAGGAGATGGGAATGCTTTCCCCACTGACAAAACTAAAGGACAATATTTCCAATACCAGCCTGTCTATTGATGCTCTTGTGTTTACAAATTGTGTATACTTTTATTTCTTTGGTCTTATTTTAAATTTTTTTTTTTTTGGCATATTCTTTCAGGTCATTTGCTTCAGTAATAAATGCAATTGTTTGTTTTCAAATAATTGTTTTTCACCTTTTCATGTATTTGTACATTGTATATAGTTCTTCAGTATTAGAGGGAGGCGTATTGTTTGTCATATTTACAATATGTGTTGGTGCTCATTTGAGAAAATAAAATTTTCAAGTACTAAAACTGCTGGTCCATGTTTCTGTTTTAATCACAGAGGGGACCTCTAAAGGTCATCTAGTGCAACCCCCCTACAATGATCTCCTGTACAGTGTGCCGATTGGAGGCAGCAGGATTTGGTTGTGCAAGAAATGTTACATTTAGCTTGAAAATAGGCAAATTAACCTCTTTTCCAGTACCGGCCAGTCCGGGGCAGCCACCTGTTGTGCACTGGGATCACTTCAGCACTGCAGTCACGGGCAAGGATCCCATCGGGCAGCGCAAAAAGATGACCCGTAGCCCCTGCGGTCTGGGATCCCGTGCGAGAGGAAACCCCAGAGGGGCCAGGAGGCAGCGCTGACCCGCCTGGCACCGTTGTACCACAACCGAGTGCCTTTCCCTAAGCCAGACCGGCGAGGGAAGCACGAGCTTTGTTTTGTGAGGAATTGCACAATTCGAAAGTATCTTCCAAGCAGCAACAACAACAACAAACCCCTGAAATCAAACCCCGTCATTCTCATTAAGTCGTTTCCCACAGGTGAAGGGTTTTGTCAGCGCCGTTACGTAGCAGTGCCTCCCACGGTAGAATGGGTCAAGAAATTCCCAGTGGCCAGAAAAGCCACCCTGGGGTTTGGATGTTTCGCCTGTTGGTAGAATTCGCTGTGTAGCCCCATGTTGTGGTGGCTGTAGGAGAGACCCGTTAGCAAAGCGTCAGGAAAGCTGCCCGGTGCGTTTGCGTG